GAGGACACAGACAACACACACACACACAAACACACACACGCACACACACACACACACACACACACACACACACACACACACACACACACACACACACACACACACACACACACACAGACACATACACACACACACACATACACGCACACACCCTTTTCGTCTTTATGGGCTCTTGCTGGATGGATTTCTCTTTGATGCTTGGATCTTTCGTTTCTCAGTATGCGGCAGCACCGAGGGTCATCGTTCGCGATTAGAACTGCGCCCGGCGCCTCGACTAGAACGTCCGGGCCCACCAGGATCACCGAGAGGGGCATCGATTGATTTCGGTGCCCTACGGTACCATTCGCAACGGCTTTGGTTTTTTGGATTATGACCTATGACTGTTTTTCTTCAGAGATTTCGTGGGATTTTGTTGCCTGACATTCTAACGTGTTTTTAGCTCAACCAGGGCTTCAGGCGCCTGAGGGGTCCTTGCCTAGGGTTTGGTGGCCCCTCTTAAGTTTGCAGTTGGAGAGCCAAGGAAGAGCGAGTAATTAGCGTGGTGTGATGCTTGCTAGGGCCGTTAGGGTTTTCATTTCCACACGTGCCAGTGACTCAGGAGCAAGTGCCGCAGCTCAAGCCGCTCTTGCAGAGCCAGATCTACTGTAGCAGAGGCCTTCTGAGAAGTGTGTGTGTGTGTGTGTGTGTGTTCATTTGGGATGTTCCCCCTTGTACTAACAGTCCTTAACAGGGATTATGATAGGGGGCACTATAATCCCTGTTAAGGACTCTTAGTATAAGGGGCAACATCCCAAGTGTTCATGCTGAATGCTATCGGCGTCCTGGTGGATGTTCCAGGTCTAGAAGTTAGGATCCCCCATGATCGTCCCTGTGGCTTCATGGTTGATCAAAATTAGTGGCCCTTTCGGGTACCCCGAAGCAATTCGGTATACAAAAGCTGGGAACCCTCAGAGGAGTCCACCGTTTAGATCATCCGTACCACCCTAGCAGAAGTGGCACCCGACACTTCCCCAACCGGGCTGGTGAACCATAAAACCCTGCAGCCCAGACCCCCCCAAAATACCCCACACAAGCACGATGCTGTTCCGGAGCTGCTTAGGGATCAGCGGGCCTGGGACCAGGCATGTGTGCGCATCTGCGGCGTTTTCGACGTCTTTCTTGTGCCTTATAGGGCCTAGACTCCAGACTCTTCGGGTGCTCGTGTGCCCCGACTGCTCTTCTCGACCATGGGCCGGGAGACAGGAAGCATCACGCTGGAGCGTTATGAGCCGTCCAAGGAGGCAGCATGGCAGAGCTACATCCCCCAGAGCCAGGATCATCTGGAGCCTTACTGCTGGTTAGCAGGGAATGAGGGAATTAATTAGGGCCTTACATATATATATATATATACATACCCTTTATATATATATATATATATACATACATCCTTCAAGGGATTATGTACGGCACCTCATTTCCCCCCCATTACTAGCCAACAGTAAGGAGCAGCTGAAGGAGGTGGCGGGGGCCTTGGATCCTGCTGCGCTCGAGGCTGCCAGGGTGCTGTGCATGGGCCCACGAGCTTCCTCGCGACCTGCGCAGGTGCCGATGGTCATCTTCTACGGGCCACCAGGCACCGGCAAGACGTATGCCATGCAGATCATCGCGAGAGAGGCCGAGCTAGAGCCGTACATCCTGCGCATCAGGAGCACAGAGGTCTGGGAGAGGGAATTCGAGAAGGCGCTGGATGAAATCGGCCGATTGAACGGTGCCGTCGTGCTGCTCGACGAGTGCGAGACGGTGTTCTCCTCTCGTGATGCACTTTCTAGCTACGGCAGTGTTCTGGCGGAGACGAAGAAGGCCTGGATTGGCATCTTCTTGCAGTGGGTGAATGGCTTGGAATCTCGGCCCTCCCGGCAACTGCTCTTGATCATGGCAACCAACAAGCTGGAAGCCCTTGATGATGGCATCAAAAGTCGTTCAAGAATCATCAAGTTTAACTTGCCGGACGCAGAGCAGAGAAGACTCTGGTGGTCACAGCATGCTGTTCTCCTGCAGCCTGAGGATCATGTCAAATTGGCCACCGACTGTCTTGGTCTTTCCTTCCGTGACATGTGGGAGATCGCAGAGCAGATGTCTCAACTGTTGGCTCGGAAATTCAAGAAGCTTGGGCGGCGGAGTGGCGCGACACTGTCTCTGGCGGAGTACAGGGAGCAAGTGGCAACGTTTAAAAGGGCACTGCGCCCTGAGTATAATGTTGGGGACTACCTGCAACCAGTCGAATTCTCTGATGCCGAATTGAAGGAATTGACCTGGGACGAGTATCTAGCTGACGACGAGCTCAAGGTTCAACTCAAAGCCGTCGCTTCAATCACAGATCGGAGTCGTGAGAAAGAAATGCGCATGCGCGTGCACGGCAACAATGCCATTCCCTCTGGACCCCCCATTATGCTGCTCTATGGGCCACCAGGCACCGGCAAGACCTATGGCATGAAAGTGGTTGCGGCACAGACCAAAAAGAACCTTTACATCTTGTCTCTGAAGGGGCTGGTGGGCAATGGCCAGATCAGGGAGGTTTTCAGCGCGATTCTTCAGGAGCTCGCCAGCATGCGGGACGCCATCGTGTTTTTGGACGAGTGCGAAGAGTTTTTCGAATCTCGTGCAAGCTTTGGAAGCTACAACAGTGTGGACATTGTACATAAGAAGCACATTGTCACTACCTTTATCCAATGGGCCGATGGCCTTGCAAAGGGTGACTTTACCGATCACGGGCTCCTCTTGTGCTTGGCCACGAACATGAAGGACGCACTCGACCCGGCAGTTGCCGACCGGGCGCGGAAGCAGATCGAGTTCAAGCTGCCCAACCATGCCCAGCGCTTGCGCTGGTGGACGCGCCATGCTCGCCACTTGGGATCCTCTGCCTCACAGCCCAAATCCAGCGCGCTCCCTCTGCTCTCGGGGGATCCTTGGGAGTTGGCCTTAAAGTCCCAGGCCTCAGAGCACGAGCACCTGGCCCGACTCAGCGAGGGGCTGTCCTTCCGCAACCTCTGGGCTGTGTCAGAGCAGGCTCTGGAAGCGGCCCTGAGCCGCTCAGCCCAGGAGCCCTCCTTTGAGGACTACAAGAGGTGCGTCGTGTCTTTGAGGCCCCAGGCCTTGCTGGAGATGGCCAAGAAGGCGCTGGTCTACACAAGGCATGGCCTCTTGGCTCCTGACCCAGCCTTAAACCCTTAACCCTAAACCCGATTACAGGTCTTTGCGCCTCTAGACCGTGTGATTGTCGGCGTTTGCGTGGCAGTCCTTTTTCTCAAGGAATCCTATCAAGGGGGCCGCAAGGTGTGTTCCGAATGAGGTTTCCCTCATGTTTCCGCCTTTTTAAAGGAAGCCTACCATGTCAGACCCGAGGCTTGTTCTCTCTGAATGAGCTCACGTATTATGTGCACCAGCTGGTCCGCTGGCGCGCGCGGCTTTGACGCTCTGCGAGGGCGCAGCAAGAGTGGTGCTAGCAAGGCCGACTCTGTAATTTTGCATTGCGATAACCCTTGCATTTTAACATCATGTGCATATCGTCCCGTTGCATTACCTCGCAAGCCCTCTGCAGTAGAAAATAGAGCGTTCGCTCCTGCATGGCTTAACGGTATTATCAACTCAGTGCTTGTGATTACACCTTGGAGTTTCCCTGATAACTATAGGTTATCAGCCGTATAGCCTACAATGCTTGCGGATGCGAACCTGGAGAATGCTTCACCTGAACTTGTACCTGCCGAAGAAGCAGCTACAGAACGTACAGGACTACCTCTGCTGCTCCCGGCAACGGGAAGCCGAGCAGGGGCACCAGAGACGCACCTAGGTCAACAGTCGTACCCTCAAGCAGTGAACTTCGCTAACATGTCCATGCATGATGGTCGGAACCTCAGCATGGCGGCGGTTTTTTCGCAGACGAATGTGTTTCATGTTCATGATGAGAACCGAGCACGTCTTAGGACGGAGCTAAGTTTCTTAGAGATTGAAGCGGAGAGAAGGCACACACTGGCCATGGAAGAACAGGCCCGTGCAAATGAACAAGGTGTTTCGAACCTTGAGGAACTCGCCGAAAGAGTACATGCTACTCGAATGGCATCGTGCGAAGAGCGATTCGCGAGGTTCGAACAGCGGTCAGCCACCAGGGAACTTGGATTAATCGAAGAGCTTGACGAAATGCAAGCCCGATTTACAAGCATTGAGCAAAACGTTTCACAATCAGAGGCGCTCCTCGCCCAAAGGATGCAAGAGCAGTATCATCAACAACTCAACAGTTTTGCTGCACAACAATCGCAGTTCCTCCTCTCGGAGTTCGAAGAAAACTTCCAGGTCTACCAAAGAACCGAAAGGGAAGAATTCGATGCGATGTTGGATGCTGCGAAAGAACAGCAAGATGAAATTGAGGACAAGCTGTTGGCCACTGAAAGGGCACTTAGGTTCGCAGAAGAGTCGCAACAACAACAAGCCCCTGTGTTTCCTAGTGCACCTTCTGCACCGAACGTGGTAACGCCAAACATGTTGAGCTCTAGCATGCGAGGACTCCTGGCCCAGATGAATCCAGGTAACACAACTGCACAACAGCCCCAAGCTGGTGCAACTGCAGCGCCCTCAGAAGGACAGACGATCGGTGGACCGGTCAGTGCGAATGCGGCTGGCTCAGCTCAGCCTGCAGGAACCACTGCAGGACCCTTGACGACCCCTCCGGGTCTAGGAAATCCCGCAGCACCCGTTACCGGGATGCCGGCCACTGGTCTGACCTCAGAGACTCTGCTCGCAACGCAGGCAGCAATCCTCGAAAACCTTCGCCTCATGAAAGGTGAGAGGACTGAAGACGACAAACCAAAGGTGAAGGAAGCCGAGAGCATTAGGTTGCCAGACTTCCCAAATCCCGAAACGTACAGATCATGGAAGACTGCGACCCGTGAAGCCATTCGTGCGGCCAGCGATAGACCCGATGATGCTTTCGAGTGGATCCTTGAAGTCTACGACAAGAACGCATCACACGAAAAGCTAAGAGAGCCAGGAAAGTTTGTGACTCTCGACACGAAGCTGCTCGCTGCACTCAGTAAGGTCGCAAAGGGAGACCTCGGTAGACACATCCTGAACTTCAAGGAAACCGAGGCCGCCCAAAAGAGATCCGTGAGGGGTCGTCAGGTTCTTTACCTCTTCGAACAACACTTCAAAACCAACGAAGAAGTGGGCTCACTCTACTCAGTTGAGGACCTTTTGAAGGTTAACATGGTCGGAGATGACCTCACATCTTTTCTTCACAACTGGGAGAGTGTCATTGCAGGAATGAGCCATGTCCCTGAGGAAATGGTACTACGAGATATTCTGCTCAGACAGATTAGGAAGTCAAGTCGTATGAAGTATGACTTAGAGATTTACGACCGTGCCAAGGAGGGATCTGCTTCTCACACCTACTCCTTCCTTTTGCAGTCGATTAGGGACTTGCTTACCAGGGAAAGGGTCAGGAAAAACCGAGACAGGATCGCCAAGTCCCACGGGGACAAGTTTGGGGCTCCTGCCCCGACGCGCCCGTCTCGCCCCTCAAGCCGAGGTGGCCGTGAGAGAGGTAGATCGCCATCTAGGAGCACGAGCCGCTCGCGAAGTAGCAATGCCAGCTCCCCAAAGAGGTCAAACAGCCCGAAGGGAG